AAAGTATACTTTAAAAACACTTGAACGACTGATTTGGCAATCAAATCGTATAAACCAATGAAGGGAAAAGAGGGGAACAGGGAAAAGAAATCCCTTTTTCCTTTTTGAGGCATCACATTTATCTTTCAAATAATTAGCTTTTAAATTGCACAGGTGACTAACCAGTAGGCCAAAAGGAGGCACTGCACCACACCTCATGTCCGTACCACCGTCCTTTCCTAGTAAGGTGGTTGCACTTGGCTCACAACCATATATTCTCTCACAGCTGTTCATAGAGAGGCTAAATGTAATTTGGCAGTTGGTAATTCCGGCTGCGAACATCAAGTCAAACGGCTGGAGGTTAACTACCTGTTGCTGGCTCACACCCTGCATGTGCCTCTCCTACTTCCTGCCAAGAGCAGCGGGGCGGCTGGGCCGGCATGGTGCCAGCAGCCCTGAGAGAGCAAGCGAGGCTGGGCCAGGGCAGACCTGCAGGTGCAGGCAAGCTGCCTGGGCCGTGCCTGTGCTGGCAGACCCAGGGTTTGGCACAGTGGCGGTTACATGATTTAAACCGAGGGAAGCCATCACACCTATGGTTACACGGGAAGGGCTTTAGGAAAGCAGCCAGAGGAGCAGAAGGTACTAGCATTCGCGCCAGGGAAGAGGCAGCTCAGGACAAGGCGGTGGGAGGGCCAGGCCTACCCTTGCCATGGGGCAGGCCACCATTACAGGGCAGCCATTTTGTCAAGGGGGTGGCCATTTTGTCAAGTGGCATTCCGAGGGCGTAGCTGGCACCTCACAGCTGGGGTTGGCGCCACAGGGCTGTGCATCCTATAGAGGCTGAAGGTGGGAGGAGGGAGACTTAGCAGTTTCATCCTCCTGTGGCAAGCAGCAAAGGGTCCATTTAGGCATGCTAACACATTTCCAAGAGTAACAAAGGGGAAAAACAATACCGTGCTATTTCAGAGTAAGTGTAGCTCCCTGCAAGTCTTAGCTAACAACATGAGCACACGGGACTTCCAGATCCACAGGACCAGCATATGAAGATACACGCATGCAGGAACCTACTTCCATAGGACAATAAATTCAAAACATTGTGATTTTTTTGTAGAACTCAGCCATGCAACAAAAGCAGGGGTCCCGCACACACACACCCACAGCTGTGAAGGCTGCTGTGTACCTGGGAACAAAATTAGGTCGATTGAAGCTATAAAACTCACCTGTTTCCTGTTTTTGGCCCCAACCTGTTACCCAGCACTTGTCACCACTGCGGACTTTGTGCGAAAAGGGAGGCACACAGATGGGCTGGATAACATGGCTCATTGTGTCCGGCCACGGCTTGCTCAGCTGCAGCAGCGCAATGTCATAGTCGTAGTTCCTGCTGTTGTAGTATTCATGGACAATGATCCGTCTCACCGCAGATACAAACTTTGCACGGCCTTGTGTTTGCATGCCCAGGTGAGCATGCCATGCTCTGGGATCAGCCAGCCTGGTTGGGAGCAAACAAACAATCCATCTCTTAAAAAAAGTACCCCAAGACACCCCCTGAGAGCAGGGCAGGAGAAAGATGAGGGCATATCCAGCCTCAGTGTAGTTCAAACTCTCGAAGCCAAAGGCGTTTGGGGACACTGGTGAAGTTTGGGATAGAGTTAGGGGCAACACTGCTTACTTGCTCCCTTGAAAGCAGTGAGCTGCAGATACAAGCCATTCTTTCGATATCACTGATGCCCCACAGTAAGCAGCTCCCACAAAATGGAGGCTGACCTGCCAGGGCCATTCACCTTCCTCAGTGTTCGTGCCACCTACAATCCGAGAGATGGGATTGCTGCTCTTGCTGCTGCCGCAACCTGCAATAGATATTTCAGATTATAATCTCCATCCCCAGGGCTTTCCTTTATTGAGAGTGCTTCCCACATAGGGCATGAAGGAATCTTGCCCTTTGAAATGTTTTAAAATCTATTTCCTTGCCCTGCTCTAATAAGAAAAACTTCTCTATTTGGCTACTCTATTCCTGAAACAAGAGGTGACTCTATTAAAAAAAAAAAAAGGCACTGGCCTGGGAAATTTAGTAAGTTTCTTTTCTAGCTCTGACGCAGGAATTGGCCTCTAAATATTTATTGTGTCAGAAAGTCAAAGGACCCATTGATTTAATAAGCATCAAAATTAATATATAAAAATAGATAAGCCCTCATCACTTTTTAATACTGTCATCCCTGAACTGAAAGGAATCCCATCATGAAGGAAGTTCAGCAGCATCAGGACACTTATTTCTTGCCAAAACAGTGGGAATGGTACAAGAAAAATGTTTATCGTAGTAGCCACACATGTGGAGTTTAGTCATTTGTTATTTCAGAAACCAGGTGTTCCAATCATTAATTTACATGGAAACAAATGAAAGTCTGAAAACATTGTATATTTCTAACTCACAGGTGAAGGAGTCATGTCTCGGCACAAAAAGCTGCACACTGTAATTTGAAGAGCAATGGAGAAAGACCCCTCTGTAAGGCCTTGTGCCCACCACTAGTGTATGCACATAAAGCATCTGCTCAGAAGTTTTAGTCCCATGCTCCCACACAGAGATGTCAACACTTCTGGGCACTTTCCAACACTCAGCCAAATAGTCAGAAACAGCATTAATGTTTCCAAACACAAATAAGCATATAGATAGTCTTTTAAGATGTCCTACTGGATTCAAGGCAGGTGCTGGCAGATTTGACATACAGGTAGCATGCCAGAAACAGCTGAGGGCCAGACAAAACACCAAAGAATATTCAGTTTAAGCAACTAATCCTAACTCCACTTTTATTGCTACTGCAGTAATTTACTGCTAGTGCAGTAACAATCACATGTTCACTTTACAGCAAAACAAACTTAACAGCTTGTACAGAGGTTACTTTAGGAAGATTTGAGACTTGAATCTAACTTGATACTATGAAATATTGGAGTCTTCACCATCTAGAAGAAAAGTTTGTATTTGTCTCATTGCAGCTGTGTCACTCCTGAAGTCCAAACACAGCCGGACTCCAACAGAAGTACCTGACACTGCTGCAGGCAACAACAATGCTGCCTTACCTGATAGCCAAGTTCACTCTGCAATTAACCCTGCTTCTTAACATAGCTACAATAAGCATTTCAGCTGACTCAGACTCCTCATAACCCTAAGCTCACCCTCCCACAAGAACTTAGGGAATTCTGCAACCAGACCTGAAGTAAACTGATAGCTGATCATTACCCCACTATCACTGAGAGGATGCAATAAAAACTCAATACCTGCTGTGTGAGTTGTACCCACTCCAAAACAGGAGGAAATAAAGGGCTTTATTGTGTAAAAAGTTCAAAGTCCAAAAAGATGAACATCTGAGAGGGACTTACTGCAGCTGCTTTCATCACTTCCATCAATACAGTCCACAGTCCCATCACACTTTGCATTTTGTTTCCTAATGCAAATGTTATTCCTGCATTTAAATGTGTGGTTGGTGCAAGGAATACCTGAAATAGTTGTGGGGGGAAAAAAAAAAGAAAAACAAAAAACACCACTATTGGCTCAGCTCAACATGTGAAGGCATGTCTGCACAGATAGAAGATTCATACATGTATTAATACATAGGGGGGAACACAGCAAAAGAGCACTTTGACTGGCATGGCTTAAACCAATCTCTAAGAAGAATAAACTATTCAAGTAGAACTGCATCTATACTAAGACTTGCATCAAGTTGGCTGAATCCTAACAAAGATTTCCTCTTATCTTTTCCCATAGTGCTAGTGAACATGGATATAGTAGCAAAAACTTAGCTGTAGAGCAAGTGTTAGGCTAGAAAGATAAAACATCCAGTACTCTGGAAAGAAGCCCTCCTTTATATTTCATTGTTAAATATGAAATGAAAGGTAGTAGTGAAAGCAGTCTTACTAATTGTATTCAGTTAAACTGCAACCCCAGCCTTGGCATTTTCCTATTTCCCTGTGGCTTGCAATAAAGGAGGCCACTCAAACCCAGTCTATTTTTCTTGTCAACAACAACAGAAATATCCTGTAACCATTTACACAGACTGTGTAGTCAAGCAGGTCAAAACCCATTACTTTTCTTTAAAAAAAAAGTTACTTGCAGCACTTCCCAGTTGTGCTCCCTTTCTCATCACGGTGTCCATTTATTCTAAAAAGCTAAAGGCTGACTCAAAACTTTCATGTGCCTAATGCTAAATGTATAACTTCCACAGCATTTTAAACATATTAACCTTATAAACCTGAAAATTGCTCCAGAGAAACTATCATTTTTATAGTCATTTTACAGATGGTAAAACCGATCCAGGAAATAATTTGCACAGATTATGTTTTAAAGAGAGAAAATCTGGGATTCAAGCTTTAAATCCCTAGATCTCTATCCTGCACCGAGAGTACTTAATTCTTCTGCCAGTATTTTGCTGAAACAGATGTTCATGAGCTCATTAAAAAGAAATAGTTTAAAATCAGTAACAGCTTGTTTATAAGCATATCAGAAGACTGAGCAGAATTATGTAGCCTGAGTTAGATTTGACAGTGCCTCTTAACTCTTCAAATATGGCATCCAGTATTTAAATCAGGATTGGATAGATGATAGAAGAGAGAAAAAAAAATTAATTACGACAGTAGTCTTACTGTGGGTGCAGTTCTGCTCATCATCTCCATTCTCACAATCACTTACTCCATTGCAGGCAAGCAGGTTGTCCTGTATTGCGAAGCTGGAGTTACAGTTCCACTCAGGGACAACTTTAAAAACGTAAGTCAAATTAGCTACAGAAACATTCTTGTAATGCTAACACTACCCTTCTGACTATGCCCAGGTACCACTTTGATAACTTTACTGCACGGTACAAGAATGAGTATGAGTGCACATTATACACAGAGAAAATAAAGCACAAAGGAGTTCAGTGACCTATCCCAGTTCACACATTGCCCCAAGTGGAGTGGCCCAAGTTCTAGCCCTCTTTCACCATGGACATTTATTATCACTCTCATCTACTCTATATACCACAATTTGTCATTCCCTCACAAACATAAAATAACTAATCTCAAAATAGAACAGATCTTTATAATTACCAGCATTTATCACATGAGGAACAACAAAAGTGTAGCCTATTACAACCGTTTTTGCATATCTGACTTTCTTCCTTGTGATTTCCAGTGCCATAACTTCTTCATTCTTAGTTTTTTTTTTTCCCCTTGTTAATTAACTATGAATGAAGCACTCGAGACAATGATTGATAGTCTGTACCTCGAGATACAAAGGAAACATCTTTTTCTTTTTCCCTAAAAAAATTTTCACCTTGTTTCAGCTGCCTTCTAAGACTACAGAATACATTTGTTGGGTTTTTCAGTCAAAATCTCTAGTAAGTGAATACAAACCACAAAAGAGTTCATCGCTTTCATCAAAGCAGTTGTTTATCCCATCACAGCGCTGCATCTGCTGGATGCATAAGCCAGTAGAACACTTGAAATGTCCAGGTGGACATGCTGGAGGAAGGAAAAAAAAAAAAACCAAACACAAACAAAAAACCAAAACTTAAAAGTTTCCTTTTCCCAAATACTGCCAGCTCATTTCAATTTACAGTCACTAAGCTGTTTTGAGCAATGATAAAGTTGATGTAAATTTAATAGTATGTATGCATTGCCAGCACTTAAATTGAGTTCAGATGTTGAAAACTAGGATTTAAAAAAAGAAGAAAAAACACCTCTAAAGTTCTAATTCAGCTGTTACTGCAATATGTACTGCAGGCTCTACACTGTGACCGGACCAAGTCAGCCAGTGTTTTATAGTGCAACACAAGAGAGCTTAGAATGCCATCTTCTTCTGAAGGACAGTCTCACTTTCAATAACCAAAATTTGCAGCACTTTGCAACTTCAGTTAGTAACCTGTTCTGGGATGACTTAGGAATTATATAGATGTTTGCCTTTTAAAATAAAATAATGAAGTTACCATCTTTTTACGTACTCCACATATATACAGTGCATAAAACTGCTCTAGTGTGACAAGTAGCTGTGACTAGAAACCATGGCTTCTCTACTACTTTAACAGCATGAATATGTAAGATTAACACAGGGGAAAAAGTATCAGTAAACAGCTGTCTGTTTCAGGACTTAAAACCCCTCACAGTTGGTAGACTTTTATCAACTTCGAGATGTTTTTCCAGCTCAGATTTCTACTTGCACATGAAGTATTTAAACTGATAGAAACACTGGAAGAAGCAGTTGCTTATTTGGTACTCTCTGCTCATTACCTGTAAGTCTTTGTAATAATAGAAACATTGCAAACAAAACCTTAGGGATGAAAACAAACAGGAACACCAGACTTCAACTGACTGCACCATGGCCATAGCCACGCAGGAAGCCTTAAGGACTGTGCAGAAGAGAACAGACTGTGTGCGTACAGGAAACCATAGCATGCCCACAAACTTTAGCTGCATAGCCTTGATGAGCTAGAAAAGGCTCTTTGTTTGCTAGTCACCTGACATAGTAAGGTTAGAAAAGAAAATAAACAAAAACACAACAATTTCCTGTGTAAACCTAATTAAGTCCTACTGGATGTGAAAAATGCTGCTTCACAGGTCCGAAATGCAAAAAATGGGATGAAAAAGATAAAATCCATCTTACGCTGGCTGATGTTATAGCTGCCATACTCCACCAGAAGCGGCTTCTCTGAGACCTTCGAACTGCACTGAAGCTCAACATTGACAGCAGAACTTGCAATGTGGAAGACTGTTTGGTGATCAACATAGTAACCGCAGTACCTGAAAGTGTTCAATGGAGTTCTAGAGCAGCCTTCACATCAAAATTGCCTTACATACAATTTAAATGTCATCAACACTGAAATTCAGCAATACAGTCAGCTGCCATACTTTAATTAAGAACCAAAATCTGAAACAGTACCCAAGTTTCCCAAAATGCTGGTCACAATCCTTCATGATCACACACAAGCAAGTAGAATGTTTGGCCAGAAAGTCCAGAGGAACAGAGATGTAATGAAGAAATATATCAAGACAAGTATGTGTACTTTTATCACCACTTCTGATATCTGTTTTCAAAAGATTTCAATTTGTGGGAAGACTTAAGTAAATTTGGTGGTAGGGGAAATGTCAGCACAGTGGAGAGCAAATTTAGCTGCTCTGATTTTCAGGATTGCCCCTGAAGAAGAGTGCACAAAGGCATTGGGATAAAATTGGCCCAACTGGCCCAACTGCTTTGAAGGCAGAGGGGACTAGATTTAAGAAAACTAAAAATATTTCTAAGTAGTCACCCAGCCTTCATCCACCATTAACTTTCTGGAATTTTACCTTTGAAAGTCATGTCTTCAAATAACTAGACTAGATTTAAAAAAATGCCTTAGGTGCACATCTACTTTAAGCTGCCATTTTGACAAAGAGCTTCCTTGGACTTCTACCTAGGTACCACTTAACTCAGAAATCTAAATGCTCCCTGATGCCAGCAAACATTTAATCTGTCCACTGCTAATGCATTTCTATTGACCTTTTCATCAAAGATGCCAAAGTTGTTGCAACTGGCATTTAGATCTAGCTGAACAAAAAAACAAGCCACAACACACAACCACCACCCTCGTCCCAAAACTCTTTAACAGGAAAAGGTTGCTGGATTGTGCTTTAAAAAGTGTAGACAGTTTTAAATGTAGAAAACCAGTGAACATGGACAGTATGAGTTGTTCTAGGAGTAGAAATAAGGACCCCCTCCTCTGTTCCACTAAGATGGTCCCAAAATGCAGAACTTATGAGAAGAACATCTGGCTTTAAGACTTTTGTCAAGAAAAGTACTTATCAGTCTGAATAGATTTAAGAGCAGAAGCAGCTATATTGATTCTTAACACACTTGGCACACATACTTGCTTGACAGCAGTGCAAGGTTACACATTGCAGTTAGAACGAACTTGAAGAACATGGAAATGCATTGTTGTATTGTTAAGTGCACTAATGGACTGTTACCCAGAGGTAAATATTTCCCTTGTTTATTTTGGCAACACCAGGCATTGCACCAGGACTCCTCTTCATGTCAACAAATGCAGGGAAATTGGGTAGTAATTTCCATGTAGACAGGTGTTGCCTGGTGTCCTGCACACTCCACTAAAGAATGCCATAAGCGAATGGCCATGTTCATTCATATGTTTCCATATGTGCTTTGTTTCACCCTATGAAAATGAAACATCCTTTTAACACATCTAGGAGCTTCTATTGCAGCAATGTGAAAAATAAATGAAAAAAAACAATATAAAAGAGAGACTTCTCTAACACATCCTGAAAACAGATAAAAAAAAAAAAAGAGTTAATTTTACAATGTTCTACTATAGTAAAGCTAACTGTCAAAAAAACCCAAACAACCACAGAACAAAAAAACCCCAATCTATCAGGGCTAAGAGTGAAGACTTCCTGCTGCAGGAAGTCATCTTCTCACTCATTTTAGTGTCTCTGTCAATGTTCCCAACCTAAAACAGCCTGCCAAAGTGCATAGCAAAATGCCACCTAACCATCTGATTCCCCTCAAGATGCCCACAGACATTTTCTACATTTCTCATTCTGTCAAGGACTTAGACAACTTCCATCCAACAAACCTTAGCACTGTTTAAAAAAATAAATTTTAAAAAATTGCAGGTTGCATTGACCACTTCTCAGCCACACAAAACCACCTCATCTCACCAGAAGTACGGAAAGCTCCTGCCCATCTGTGGAAGAGCTGAGACAGCTGCACCAAGGAAGCTATCTCCTGTGCACAATGAGAAATGCCATATGCTTGTGGGATTTGTGAGACAGAGTTACAGATCCTTGGGAGCCTTCTACTGCTGTTTTACTAGACATTCCTCCAGGTCCAGGGCAAATGGAAGTTGCAAGGCACCATCTGTAACTCCGTGCCATCGCTACAGAGAGAAACTAGGGGATCCTGTCCCATATGTTGAAGCAGGGAGTGGTATACCTTTTCATGGATGAGTAGATACATGCATCCTGTAGCAGAGACAACGGGATGTTGCACCAACGGCTTTAACAAAAATAAAACACTGGCAACCTCTTTATTCATGTAAACCTCTAACAGTCTGCTCACAGAGACTCATTAATATTTCTGCCTATGAGAATTTCAGCAACAGCAGTTCATCAGCTGTAACTCCTCTGGCTAGGCACTAGTCTAGGCACTGGAAGACAGATGAGGAAGAACTGCGTGGTTGTGTTCAGCATCTCTGGTTAAGTAAAGAGGTCCCTAGAGGTTTGAAGGAAACTTATCTGCACCATCTTTATGGTAGCAGTCTGTCTTTGCCAAGATCAGTCTCCTGAAGCTCTTTTTACCTAAGATAGCAGAATATGCATGCTATACACTGCAATTGCAGGAAGATGAAAAGGTGGGGTTCCCCCGCCCCCCTGCGATATCACTAACCATTAACATTGGCGGGGACGTGTGTGTGGAATCAAATATCAAAATGTTTCATGCTTTAAGTCATATTTTTTTCCATGGGAAGTAGACATGAATCATAGAGGTTTAAAAGCCTTATTTTCAATCAAAAAGACACTTTCAAAGGAAAGCTTGTCCTTGGTCTACTTACAATCATCAGCAACTTGCAACAGAAATCAGGAGCATGTGTTCTCGTGCAGTACTTCAACAGTAACCCCGAGTGCATTTCTAAGGATCATTCTCTGACCTTTTATTCCATGGAATGTATAATTGGTAGGCTTATTTAAAAGCTGCTCTTTCATATAGAGAAACCTTACAATATGAACCCATCATCTTTTTTTTTCTCCAGATTTTGCCTGTGATTCATAGCTCAGCCATTCTTTCCAACTATATCATAAAAAGAACACCAAAACAAAAAAAAACCCGCAAACACACCAAATGTTGTCCATTTTGACTGGTGTTTTTATGTGCCCATCCAGTCCAGCAACCAATTCCCATCAAAGCACAATTTTAAGAGCTTCAGACAAAACTGAATTTTCTCTATGTAAGTACAACACAGTATCAAAGAACAGAGAAAGTTTTTTCTCCTCTCTGTAATTCTTTCAGTTACACTCTTAAAGGCCTGACTGACTTTGGTTAGCTTCAGCAGTGAGTTCAAAAATTCAGTTTCATGTCTGATCTTACTGAGGTTTCCATCTCAACAAAGTTTAAAAAAAAAATTTAAAATTCCAACATCCTAAATCTAACGTTGCCTCATCATCCAGTGACTGAAAGATTACATTAAAAAAATCGAGAAAAAAAATGGGTGGGCAATGTGTATGGGAAAGCAGCAGTATGTTAATAAAATAATAGCAGTAATATTTTAATCAAAGACACTTAAGAAATACAGTGGTACCTTAACAGCCAATCTTTGTGGTTTCTCTTTCAAGAGCCGGTGACTGGAATGCGGAAGCATTTATGCTTCTATTCGCAATAATCTCATTGTAATAGCTTTCACTGAGAAGTTAATTAGGTACAGTGTACTTGTGAGCAATCATAGAATTAAGTTACACTTAAAAGGGCTTTAACAGACCTTGTTCAATTATCCCAGAAAACCCAGAATTGTTTTAGTGTTCACAGGACATCTGCCTTCGCCCAGCTCTTCCCATTTCTTTCTCTCCAGAGAGTACCAATAGCTCTTGTTTTCATCTTTGTGATACTTTCCAACAGAATTTTTTTATTGCGTGTATATATATATATTATAAAGATTCGCTTACTTGATTAGCCAAAGTGAAAGAATGGTAAGAGACACCAGTGAAGTATCTCTGTCTTTGTGGAAACTCTGAGTGAGCTGCCGTAGTGAAGGGAAGGTTTATTTTGGTAACATTAGTTTAATAACCCATGCAGAAGTACTTACATGTGTTCGTTAATTTTCCACCATCCTCGCTCACAGCCTTTAATATTCTTCTCACTGATGGTATAGTTATGAAACTTCAGAGCTATACCAAGGCTCTTCTGTGGAGTCTGTTGTGAGCAAGAAAGACAGTGCAAGACATAGTAAATGAAAGTCTTTAGACTTACCTCGGCGATTAAGGTGCTTGGCAATGCCACGCTCTGGGAGCTGTGCTGACTTCGCCAGCTCAACAGCCAGCACTCAAGACAGCTGCCAGCTATTCAGCCTTGAGGAAAAGGAAAGGTTGGCAAAGCCTCACCACAGCTGCAGGCTTTTTCCCCCTCTAGCCAACAGTCCTTTCATCTTCAAAAAGCTGCTGGCCACAGAAAGCAGCTTTTATATCAAGATCAAAGCACCCAAACGCAATCAAATTTATTCGCGTAGGATTGTTAGTTAGGATACCGCACTGAATACCCACCGTGTCACCTTTGTAATGTTAGGAGTTACTTCTACCACAATATTGTAGTCTTCTGCTAGCACCTGCTCAGCCAAGAATTCTTTAGCATTTTATAAAAGATTTTTAAAGTTGGCAGTATTGTGAGGGTTCATAATGAATTAGGATTTCCTTTAATAAAAGGAACAGAACCTTTTTGCAAGACAAGGCAACATTCCTTTAAAAACAGGGGTTCTTTCAGAACAAGAATCCAGAAATGGAGATTTTTATCCTTCCCTTTCACATAAAACATAATGTGGGAAATGAGGGAAGTTTCAGTATTGAACTACTGGGAAAATTAAATTGTTTTGAGAAATAAGTCTTGGAGGTTGCCCACGTTAAGTGTCCAGAAACTTTTCCCTCAGAAGTCCAGGGTGAATTGAAGACCTGAAAGCTTAGCAAAAAAGCAATTGCCTTAGCTTTCTACAAGAGGAAAGGGCTGTGGGTCATGGCTAGCTGGACTCCATTCAGATTGGTGTGATTCAACGTGAGCAACCACTAGCTTAACTAGACATGAGTAGCATAAGCAGGAAGATAAGTAAACAGTGGACTACATCGTATCCATTGCCATATTATTTAGAGAGGAAAACACTGAAGGGCAAACCATAAGTCTAAGATCATATTTTAGCAGCATCAGCAGGGAAACATTAATGTCATCAGACAAGGAATGACAAAACTATTTTAAACCGATGTAAACTTTCGGTCATTTGCATCAAGGAAAGTACCTGAAAAGGTGCAGAAAAAAGATCCAAGAACAAACAGTCTGCAGGATTGTGCTGATAGGACAGACCATCTTAGAAGACAAAAGTACAATTTATTAAGCATAATGAAATAGACTGAAAAGAGATGTCACAGAAACAGCAGCAATAAAAATGTTAGAGGAGTCTTTTGTACATATATTTTCCCCAGTTTTCAGGGGTGGGGAGAGTGGAATTAGAAACAGTAAAGTCTTACATTCTTTGCTATGAAATTATTCTGCAGGCTAAACATCAAAACGTATCTCAGCTCTTCACATTTGTCATAGGAAAGCTCAGAAACTATGTTCTCTTCGTTAAGAATAAGTCCACAGAAAAAAAAAAAAAGAAAAACCTCACCACAAAAAACCTGAGCACAGCCAGCTATTCAGCTATGTACTTTCTGTAAATTGACACATCTGTAAGGATACAGGTTACTCCCTACACAATTGTTTCTGCTATACTTACAGGCTCTGTATGCCCAAAACGCACAACAGTACCTAAGAGAGGGAGATTCATGTTACCTGGAAGTTCCATGCACAGAGACATTCTGGAGGATAATAGCTTGGGTAATAGGGACTTGTGATTCTCCCTTCATAGCCAATTTTCTCTTTTGTCACTATTGCTTTTCCACACCCTAGGGGAAAAAAAAAAAGAGGCAAAAGTTGGTAAATACTAATATAGTTCCAGCAAAGCTATTCAGTGGGCTAAGCATCCGAATTTATCAGAATTCTTACGCTGCAAAACAGAGCAGCTTAGGAATTTAATTTATCTGGTTTCAAGTTGTAAAAAGATACTCTTCCCAATGATGCAGACAGACAAGGAATGTAAAAGTCTAGGAATGCTTGCTGGGCTCTGGAGGACCAGGAGAAGACATTGTGAAGTTTTTTATCAGTTATTTCACTGAAGGCAATTTTGTAAACAAGTCTCAGTGAACAGTGTTGCACATCACTACGTGCACGCTGCAGTACTACACGAGGATCTCTAGTCTTAAAATGCAGTCAGTTAGAAGAGAAATGGGCAACGTGCTAATCAGCCTCCTGGAAGTCAAAACTTTCTTTTATGACTGCTTAATAGATTTAGAGAATTCATTAAAGAAAAACAACACACACACAAAAACCAACAAAGAAAACCCAGCTCTGAGTTTAAACCAACAAAAAATAACAGCCCTGAATTTAAAGTTACTTATGATGGAGAATTCATCACATGCTTTTATGATAGTATTTTAAGTGCTTAATTACTCTCAACATGGAAAGTATGCAGCATCTTTCGGAGCAGATTGAATTTCCTTGCATTGGGTTGTGTTAGATTTTTCTCCTTGTGCTATTTGTGTGATGTTCCTTGTAGTATTTGTGATTATGATCTAACCACTTCTTAAAGCTTAAAGCACTAAAAAGCAGATGATGAACTTGATGCACAAATGTAACTGACTCCTTTGTGTTAATGCAGAGGCAGAGACCGACAGAAAATGCAGACAGAGCTACTGAAGTTTTATTTTCTGAGTAGTTTTCAGTGCTGAACACCTTCCACCTTTAACACCATCACTGACTCCCAAACCAGGAGAGAGAGATCACAGCAGTGCTACACCTGGAATAACAACTCCATCTACTGGCACACTGCAGTCCTGACCAGCTGAATTCAGTCAGTGCTGGTTTCAGCCTTCTACCTTCATATTTCACTTAAGAACAGCTAATCTGCACAGATTAAATTACTCAAGAGGAAGGCAGACACTCAGCAATGCAGGGAGGATGAAGGAGAGAGACAAATATGTAGAAAAAAAGAAACTGAGATACAGGAGTCATTTATCCATAACCAGGAACATGACAGCCACTTTGGGATCTTAGACAGAAAGAATACAATAAACACATTTCCAGACACACAACAAACCTACTTTCTTGTGTAATGACTTCAAAATATCCATGGAATCCCTTCCATTCCTTTATTTGTGCTGCCTTAAACATTACCAGCATGAGGTTATTTGTGGACACAAGTGACACCAATGAATCGGCTGGTTCACAAACTCTGAGGGTGAAGAAAGGAGAGTACATATGTAAGAAATTGGTAAAAAACCCAAACACAAACCAAAACAAAAACCCACCACACTGCTCTGATTCTGTGCATAAAATTTTCCACCAGTGCAGGGCTTGCCTACTTCAAAGCCTAGCAAAACCTCCATGCTCTTAAAGACAAAAGTACCTGCTACAAGGCCAGTTTGAAACCCAATATTGCAAAGTCACTTCTTACAAAAAAGAAAGAAATTGCAAACATGAAAACGGTGATGGAATGATTAGCTCTAGGAGATAATACTGACTTTCAGTCTTCACTCCAAGCAAAAACAAATGAAGCCAATAGTAAAGCAAGGCTTGTAGAAAGAGAAAATTTATTTTATTAGACCAACAGATTTAGTTTGTAGTTGAGGAGTGGGAAAGACAAGTAAGTTGTTCTTCAAGTCAGAAATGAAGAAACTGAGCCATTCAACTAGTCTCATAAAAAAAAATAAAATATTACTTTCCATATGCGTTACCTAGCAGACATCCTCAGTCCTCTACAGATACTAACAAGTATCACCATCTGCTGTTTTATAAACGGGTCAGTGAGTGATTCAGATTAGTAGAGGATAGCGTGCTCAGAGCACTGAAAAGCCCATGCTCTTTTTTGAGGCTTATACACACACTGACAGGCCAGAGAAAAGGATTTCAGGGTCAAAACGCTGAGCTCTTCATCTACTTGATGGAGGTACTGTCTTCACGTTTTTGGTCTGAAAGAGCTCTATGGAATTAGGTACCAGGAATTTCAAACACAAAAAAATAAATCCACAAACAAGCATATTGGACCATTAAACGGGGGGGGGGGGGGGGGGGGTTGGGGGGGGGGAGGGGAAATAACAGTCAACATCCCTCAGCTCTAGATTTTAATAACCCTTTAAATTACTCAAAGCAGATAATAAAAGCGCTGACCTCGTGAGTGGCAGTAAGTATCCAAAGAATCACGAGACTTAATTTCAGAACTTAAGGCTTCATATGAAGAGTACTATCTTCACATGGAAGAAGAGTTTTCTTAGGGGAGGAAATTTTGACATTTTTTTTTAGTTAGCATCTGTTTCCTGATAAGAAACAGAAAATTCCACCCAATATGTGTGAACTTCTTATAGTTCTGTAGCTAGATGAAGATGTACTCCAGTTGAAGAATAAAGAAGAATTTGAAGAATATTTTACTGTTTCTTTTACTAGCAAGACCAACTTTTCCACTTTTGTAAGAAAAGAATATTTGCCAGCTGTTGTGTGCATAACGCATGAAGATCAGAATATTTTAACAACACAAAACCAAAACAAAAATGCAGATGAACGTATCTTCAGGAAAAAAAAAACCCAAATGATTGTCAATATGAAAATTTATACTCACCGGTACAGTATCTTATGTTTGATTGGCATCAGAGAGTCATAAATGGTTAATGAGTCAGTGATGCAGTTATCTGCTTCAATCTGAAGGAATACTATTGAAAGACGAATAAGATGGCCCACGGATGCAATCAGCTTAAAATAGCAGATCGTTCCCCCCGAGGCAGCATGTATATCCAGAGGAAAGTGCTCATGTAGATGATCAGCGTACAGATCGTACATACAATTTGTTCCTGTGGGAATGACATTTTCAACACTAAACACTCACACCAAAACTGTTAAATCCACATGGCATAAAAAAAAAAAATCCTAAAAATTGCTTTAAACTAAAGCAACATATGAAAGTGTATCTAAATCTGAAAACAAAGTAATCTGTGCCACTCACTGTTTTCATCTTAGTTACAAGTCTGAGGTCAAGGAAAAGTCTACTACATAGACTCATAAAATTACAGAGCATGGCAAACAGTGCTGTAAATAAGTCCTTGCAGTGTACTTGCACTAAGCACCGCCATTTTGTACAATAGGTATTTACAAAGCTCTGTGGAGCCCCCAGAGTATAAATTACTTATTTAAATCAAACATTCTCTGGGAAATGTTCATCTGCTGTCAAGGCATAAATCCACTGCTAACCCCTACAGATATTAGTATATCTAAAATATATAAAATAAAAACAAAATAAAAATTCAGCTACATATCTGTATTACTTGGGTTTTTAGATTATTGTTCAAACATCAGAGTTCTCTATGTTTTCTTGTGAAATGAGCTATAAGTGCTACCACTAAATTCAGATTCACCAATTCCTCCAGTTTGGAAGGGATCCTAGGACTTCATGATTCTGTGATTGTATGACTTTTCTTGTTCAACGTCCTGCTCAAAGCAGGGTCAAGGTGAATTCAGACCAGGACTTTGTCCTGTCAGTTCTTGAAAAACTTTTGCAGCATGAGAAGTCACTGTTAGAAATGAAAGTACTGTGAAATGTAAAATGATACAGACTAGCTTACACAACAGTTTTATTAAAAAAAAAAAGTAGCAAAAAAGTTGTGTCATAATTTAGGTAAGAATAACCAGAAAGTTACCTACTTGCATCCAATTTTCCAATTAAGCCAAAACAATTTTGACTTTCAAGTCAAATCACAGAACCACAGAGTAATTAAGGTTGGAAAAGACCTCTAAGATCATCAAGTCCAACCATCAACCCAACACCACCATGCCAACTAAACCATGTCCTGAAGTGCCACATCCACACGTTTTTTTTGCATACTTCCAGTGATGGTGATTGCACCACCTCCCTGGGTTCCAATGCTTGACCACTCTCTCAGTAAAGAATTTTTTCCTAATATCCAGTCTAAACCTCCCCTAGCACAACTTGAGGCCATTTCCTCTCATCCTATCACTAGTTATTTGGGAGAAGAGACCAAGACCCACCTCGCCACAACCCCCTTTCAGGTAGTTGTAGAGAGCGATAAGGTCTCCCCACAGCCTCCTCTTCTCCAGATTGAACAACCCCAGCTTCCTCAGCTGCTCCTCATAAGACTTGTTCTCCAGACCTCTCACGAGCTGCCTTGCCCTTCTCTGGACACGCTCCAGCAACTCAATGTCCTTCTTGTAGTGAGGGGCAATATATTGAGGTCTTTATTTCAATTCAATGTTGCATCTCAGAGTCAGCGAAGAGCTTAGGGATTTTTTTGTTTGGTCATATCTAAGACTCTTAACATGGCTCTTCGAAAGGTGAGAAGGAGCAAAAATGTAAATTAGGTAGAATAAGATCCAAAGTAAATATTTGCATTAATTTCTGCCTATTAAAAAGACAAGTCTCTGAAATAGTATCGTGGAACATCAATTAGAGCACTGCGAAACTTTGCATCAATTGTTGACTCAAATGAAATGTTGTTCTTTTAACCAGTTGTTAATCAAGACAGGAAGTGTCAGGCTTTGTCTGACTTCTATTTCTAATTTACAATCTTGAAACTAATGCTATGTATGCTTATGAACAATCTGTAAGGGTCACATACCATTCATATGAATTACAGTTATAACTATTTAAAGTTTTGGTTGAGACATTGTTCTTCCTTCTTGTTCTTATCTCTTCCCAATAACATTCTTTTTATAATAGTTATTTGTGCTTATTTACTTACCCTTATCAAAGCCAGCTTTGATCATAATCTTTAGAATGATGTGACTATCATTACATCTACTAAATAGTTAATAATGTGACAAGTTCACTGCTAGTAAGGAGGACAGTGCAGAGGATTCAGAGCTGGCTCTGGAACTGGAACTAATGCAAGCATACCATCTTGAAACCAAAACTGGATAGTCTTTACCCAGCCAGATACCATGGCAAGGCATGTAACTTGCATTAGCTGAACCTCTGCAAGTCTTTTCTCCAACCCATTCTTCAATAAATCTGCACTCCAGTGCTGTGCCTGAACTAATAACTAACTAGGTGCATCTTCATGCCAAAGTAACACCATAGTTCTCAAAATACAACCAGGTAATGCACCTTCCTTGTACGCAGCTGCGTTAACGCTTTCACTTCTGCACCAT